GGCTCGATCCTGAGGGTTTGGACATGGTGCACACACACTGCCCTTCTCCAGTCGTGAACCAAGTCGGAGATTTGTGTCTCCTTTCATCCCAGGGAAGGGGAAGTGAATAGTAAGTGCTTCGGAAAGAATGAGGACGCAGACTTACACGGGGGAGCTTGCTCCCTTCCACCGTCTGTCCTTTGAAGTTGGCAGCAGGGGGAAGAGTCTCACACCCGCAAAACGGGTCGTGGAAAATCAGAAACACATTGAGCCGTTAACGTGTCACTGATGGGATTTGGATCTGCGTAAGAACCCATTCTTTGCCTTCAGTCTTGACTGCGTTACCTTCCTAGCGGGGAGCGGTGCTCGGCCATAGACTAGTGTGGGGGCCCTGGAGGGAGGGGGGTGCGGCACATCTCCAAATGCTGAAATCCTGAACCCACCCGTGTACTTGCAGAATCGCTGGTAGGCACACGGCCGGAAGCTTCCGGAAGTGTCTCTCCCATCCCAGGACTAAAAAATTCCTTTACCTCGTAAGAAAATGGCACGGGCTGAGAACCCACTCTGGAAGGTATTTTTTTTTCCCCCCACATTGACTCTTTTTTTTCCCTTTCCTCCCTTTTTCTTTGTATTTCAGCCTTTACATCAGAGATGGTATCCCCCTGAATGATCCTGTAGGGTCATATTGGGTGATGTCATTGTAAATGCTGTTGCTCATGAAGTCATAGACTAGGCTTTGCTATCCAACTGCATCAAAAGGTCAAGGTTCCACATAAAGGCCATCAAGAAAGGGATCTTTCCTTGGAAAAATATGGACGTTGGCGTCCAAGGTAAAGAAGGGTTCATTATATGCCACCGAGACCAGGGCATGGGGTAAGGGATGCTTGCTCCACATCAACTGTGCCCCTGGATTTACCTCTGAGAGTCGGGGAACACTGCGTGCACCCAGGAACGCTCGTAAGAGGCCGCAAGGACGCAATGCCTCTGAAATTCGGATCCATGGTTCATTGGTGCCGCCAACCAAAACAGATACTCGGCTTTGTTCTTGGGTGTCTGGAGAGGGAGCGCCTCTCCGTGTACGTCGGTGGTTTGGATCTGCTCCCGAGACACGTTTTCCCTTGGGCTTTATGGATCTACTGTTATTATCCCATAGATCTCGGGACGCATCTCACAGGAAACAAAAGCCTTCAACAGTCACGTGCATCTGTGCTGGTCCCATAAATTTCACAGATGTCGCGTGGCGGATCTGTCCAGATGCTCTTGAAAGCAAGACCAGTCTTCCTCACCTCTCAACTGGGCTCTGAGTCCACCTGGAAAGTGGCCAAGAATTTGGAGGGCAGCCCTGGGAGGAACCGAACTCCCACGGAGATCAAAGCGGCCCACGCAGGCACCCAGAGGCGTCCCTAAACCCCTGCCAGAGCCGACGGTCGAAGCAGCTTCCACCCAGTTAATCCATTCAACTGGATTAATCCACTGATGAGGTCACGCAGTCACTTCTCCTCTGAACCTTCTTGCATCGTCTCACCCATGAGCTCTGGGGGACTCATCTGAGCCAACATATAGCAAGACAGGCACAAAGCACCATGCGACCAAGGACAGCACTGGTGCTTAGTCTGGGTGACGGGGAAATGAGGTGTAGGGTACAGGCAGCAGGATTCCACTGCTCTGTCGGAAGGGTCTTTCCCGGAATCAGTGGAGGCGAGAGGCTCCGGAGCAGGAGTAGGGTCCGGGACACCCATGAGTATGTGCTCAGGTTCATCCAGGGGAGAGAGATGGTGGCAGCGGAGGAGGTGAGCAATTAGCGGGGGGCAGAGCGATCCTGCCCTGGCAGGATTTTAAAGGAGACTTCACTGGTTTCTCAGATAGTAACCAGAAGTCACAGGGAAGTGTGAGGTGTCCATCAAACATTGCGCAATCCCTATCTTGTAATATCTCCTAAGAAAATCATGCTGTGAGCCAGGCACAGTGACGCATGCCTGGAACCCCAGCCGCTCAGGAGGCTGAGGTCGGAGGATCGCAAGTGCAAGGCCGGCCTCAGCAATTTAGCAAGGCCCCAAGCAACTTAGTGAGACTGTGTCTGTAAATAAAAAGTAAAAAGTCCTGGGGAAGTGACTCACTGGTTAATTGCCCCCTGGGTTCAACCCCTGGTAAATAATAATAATAATAATAATAATAATAATAATAATAAGGCTGAGATGTGGCTCAGGGATTAAGCATCCCTGGGTTTGATCCTTAGTACCAAAAAAAGGAAAAAAAAAGAGAAAAAGAAAGAAAATCATATTGTAATCAAAACGACACTGAGATTCCATCTCACTCCAGACAGAATGGCAATTGTGAAGAATACAAACAACAATAAGTGTTGGCGAGGATGTGGGGAAAAGGCTCATTCATACATCGCTGGTGGGACTGCAAATTGGTGCAACCGCTCTGGAGAGCAGGATGGAGCTTCCTCAGAAAACTGGGAATGGAACCTCCATGTGACCCAGCTATCCCACTCCTCAGTCTAAAGTCAGTATGGGATAATGACGCAGCCACATCAATGTTTATAGCAGCACAATTCCCAATAGCTAAACTATGGAACCCAATCTAAGTGCCCTTCCTCTGATAAATGGATAAAGAAAAGGTGATGTAAATACACAGTGGAATATTACTCAGCCTTAAAGAAGAATGGAATGATGGCATTTGTTGGTAAGTGGATGGAGCTGGAGAATATCAGGCTCAATGAAATAAGCCAATCCCCCAAATCCAAAGGCTGAATGTTTTCTCTGCTATGTGGATGCTAATTCACAATGGGGGTGGGGGAGGGAAAGAATAGAAGTACTTTGGATTAGGTACAGGGCGGTAAAATGAGGGGAAGTGGTATGGGGTAGAATGAATCAGACATTATGACCCTGTGTGTGTGTGTCTATGGCTGCACGACTGGTGTGATTCCTATAAAATATATTCTATAAAATAGAACTTAGTAACCTATGGATGAAGAGGGGAAAAAAACTATACAATATCTCATGAAACTCCAGAGAAATGCACACTGTATCCAGTTGTGACAACACCCAAGGAGATGAAGTTTGGTTAATATGTAAGGTGCACACCAAGGATTCCCTAAGATCACAAATGAAAGGTGATTCTTAAACTTATGTTAGTTTTACAATGTATTCCATAGTTTCTGATGGAGTTAGCTGTGACTTATTGATCCATTCTTGCTTTCGTGCAAAAGAAATTGACTGCTTTTCCTGGAAAATTCAAAGACTGAAGTCAAATCTTCACGATTCAGTTGCAAAATACGGCTTAACGATCTATGATGCCATTTTCTTTCATTGCAATGTTTACGTGAATATGTCACATGACCCTCTTCTATTCAAATGACCTTCAAGTCTGAAAAAAAAAACCCTAATTTCTCCATAGGATAATGAGAAAACGAGTGCTTAAATAAGAAACAACACTGAAAAAACAAATTACCATTCATGTAATGTCCAACGACTCAAAACAACACTTCTGAAATTTAGTAAGTCTCATACTAAGACAGACAGATAAGTAGACAGGCAGATTTTAAAAGTTTATCTGCAATGATGACATAAATAAATCACCCAAAACTACAGCTGAAGAATGAATTGATATGACTGACAGCAGGAAATGACTTATCAGAGCAAATGCTTAGGCTATTCCATAAAGAGAGTAAATGGATCCTAAAACCAGATTTCATTTCTGTTTCAGATCTACGCAGTCAGAGGTAAGCAGAGCGTGTTCTCACCCACTCACTTCACAAAGCATGAGGAATCCTGTTCCACTTTTAAATAACCTTGAGGCACATTAAATGACACAGTGTGTGCAGAATCCACAGTTTAGAAATATTGTCCTTCTATCATTTAAGCCAATGTGTCTAAAAGACCTTTCAAAACAGTCAAGTTACACACACATGTCGTTTCGATATTGTTATGTGCTTCTCACATGAAATTTTGGTTATGAAATAAAAGATTCTTCGATTTTTGGCTCAATAGTATCATCTGTGAAATAAACATACTTAAACACTAGTCTGATTCCAACATGGCTGCAATTATTTCTAAGAAGCTTGCAAATTTTATTATTCATATAATCTGAACATAAAACCAGCTTAATACTGACTAAACTACCACTGTGTGTGTGTGTGTGTGTGTGTGTGCACGCGCGCACATGTATGCGTGCCTAATTTGTAAGATTGTGATGTTTGGAGGACAGTTTTTAAAAATCATTCTACTAAACATATAAAAAGTTTATAGTGTGTGTGATTGTGTGTGAGTGCTTGTGTTCAGCAAGAAAGAAAATTTTAAGAACATAAAAGACACCTTAATGAAACAATCAAATTAACCAGAAATTACTAGAAACCAACCAAAAACTACTTACAAAATAACACAGGAGTTAAGTAGAAGGCATTAAATAGTCTGGTCTAACTGGAGCGCATTTCTCCTTTAAAAACTATTTTTTATTAAAAACATAAAGTCATGCACATGCCTGTCATCCCAGCAACTCTGGAGGCCGAGGCAGGAGGATCGCGAGTTCAAAACCAGCCTCAGTAAAAGCGAGGCACTAAGCAAATCAGTAAGACCGTGTCTGTAAATAAAATACAAAATAGGGCTGGGGATGGGTGGGGCTCAGTGGTTGAGTGACCCTGAGTTCAATCCCCAGTGCACACTCCCCTTAAAAAAGTTATAGGGAGGTGAGGGTGCAGCTCAGTGGCAGAGCATGTGCTTAGCATGTGCAAGGACCTCGGTTCAATTCCCGGCGTGCATTTGCACACACGTAACACAGAATAAAGAGAAAATGTGGTAGAATATTGAAGCCTCTACCTTGATTGCAGTGGTGGGTACACTAGTAGACCACGCACATGATGCCAGGAGATTGTCTGTTGCAATGTACGTGAAGTGTAACGTGCAACCACTCGTAGAAACTGGATGCATGTGATTTCTCTGCGCTCTGCCACGTCCTGTGGCTCCCCATTCCAAAATGAACAGCTGGTTACAGTAAGAACACGGTTGTAGGAAACCTACCTTCGAACATTGCTTGTGATTCTGGCACCAAACCAGGGAGCCGTTATTCTGCAAAAAAAAAAAAAGAAAAGAAAGATTGGACCCATTTAATGATTTTCTAATTGTGTAGAATTTAAAAATATTCATTTTTTAAAAAGACCCATCTTGCAATGCTGATGCGTTTCTAAGGAAGAAAACACGTCTCTCAGGTAATGGCTACTTTCGTCATCAGCTTTATGATATAAATAAAGACACCAAACACGGACGGTTCCAAGATGTCTAGAAGGGAAGAGGGTCGGAGCCAACTCTCACGGTGTGTGGAGCCACGAGAGGCAGACTCCCAGGGACAGGAACAGTAGGCATTTTGTCCAGAGTCAGCGGTTTTGGGAAACGTACAAGTTGGGCATCTTGGAGGCTTTTGAGCTCAGCCAAATGACAATCATGAGAGGCAGAGCGCAGGGGACAAGCCTCTCATTTTCTTTTCCTGTGTGAACACCGTGGAGTGGTGGTGCATGAACCTAGATCAAACGGCCTATGTCACACCCTGATGACAGGGTGTAGCCTTTGCTCCTGGCTCTGCAGCATGTCACCGCACCGAATGCCACAGGCAATTGGAACCATCCTAGTCACGAATCTAAACCCATCTGAATATAAATGCGGAACCTTCAAAGTGGGTCCCATTGAGTTTTCAATTCAACTGTCACCGTACGTACGGGACCGCCGTCAGGATTGCAATCTGTGGCTGACCTTTGAAACCTCCTTCTGCGGCATGCGATGGCGTGGCTAAACCACGTGGCTAAACCACGTAGCGTGCTCCACATTCCCTTAATGGATAACACACTCCGGAGCTTACTTATTATCCTGAACATTTCCACCTGGAAACCGCCCGTGCACCGTGACTAACATTTTGGACACGCTTTCCCTCTGCTTGCGATATTACAAGTCGGATTGTGCCCGGCTGGGGTGTCAGCAAAGCTAGGAAGAGACCGTCAATCGCCCAACAGGTGAGGCACCATGGTGTGCAGTTCTCTGAGGTTCAAGGGTGGGGATGGAGTTAGGTGGCCCATTTCCCAGGTTAGAAGCTCTAAACTTTGACCTTGAAGAATATCTGCATGGACAGAGTACTAGTGCATGGTCCCCGTGGTAAAGCGCCCCTGAGTTCATCCGCTGTTATTCCTCCTGCCAAATAAGGCAAGCCACAGTCACACACAGGGGAGAGACTGGCACTGGGTTATGGAGGAATCCCCAGGGTTTCCAGTCTTGGAAGGGAGAGATGAGAATGGACATGGATGGTCTTGAATATTCTGTGTTTGGGAAGCACTAGGTCATGATGTAGCTCAGCGGTAGAGTGATCACCTGGCGTGCCCAAGGTCCTGTGTTCAATTCCCCAGCACTGCCATCCATCAATCTGCCCATCAGATTGGTGGAGAAGACGGGAGGAAATCAGGTAAATGGGTAGAAAGTCGACTCTAGTGCATTTGGACTTATCTCTAGATATTCACTTTTTTTTTTTAAATTTAGCAAATGTCCGAGGGATAAGAAAATAAAAGACAAGATTATATCCGTGAGAAAGGCATGGAATACCTTGCTTCCTCTGCACCCTGACTGTACAGAGAGTGGAAAAACTTTAACAAAAAAAAACACAAAAGAACCCCCATAAAGATCACCATCGGCACCGGGACCCCAGTTTCCCAATGCAAACCCTCTCCCCCCTCCACAAACCCCATGCTCCGCAACCTGCTGGTTCCTACGCACCCACCCCAATGAGAAGGGCTGGTAAGCCCCAGAGCCCAGCTGTTAACGTCGTTACATTTTATTGAGAATTAATACCGATGCATTATCTCAATCAAGGCGGCTTCAGTGTGAGCAAAAAATTCCCATTAAATAAAAAGCTCTGTCCTTATAAAGAAGTATTTGGGGCAATAGCAAGCAAGTGCTGAAGATGATTATGATCGGTGAAGAGAGTGTGCTTAAGACGATTAGAGAGAATCCATGCCAAGATTTACAAAATGATTGGCAGGAACTTAGATATCAGGGGAGGGGAAAAGGGGGCCCACTATCATTATTGGGTTTTATTGGGGGGGGTACCAGGGATTGAACTCAGGGGCACTTGACCTCTGAGCCCCAGCTCCATCCTTATTTTGCATTTTATTTAGAGACAAGGTCTCACTGAGTTGCTTAGCACCTCTCTTGTGCTGAGGCTGGCTTTGAACTCGCGATCCTCCTGCCTCAGCCTCCCAAGCCGCTGGGATGACGGGCGTGTGCCACGCAGCCCAGCTCCGTCACTATTGTTTCCGGGAGTAGAGGAATGATCCCTCACTTAACGTCTCCCTGCCGTCCGTCACGGACAGCACTCACCCTGGACTCTCTGATTCCCTCTGATCGGGGAGATTCAAAAGCATTCACTATTGCAAATACAAAAATACAGTCTTGGCAATGCGAGGGCGGACTCTCCTGTTTTTTCCTCCCTGGGTGGTAGCCGCCTCTCGGCATTTGCCCACACGAGGAATGTGCAGCGGCTTAGTTACTTTCGCTTCATTTCCAATTCGGCCGGCCGGCACGGATGGTCCGATTTGTTCGCTGCAAGGATTCTCCAGTACATCATCTGTCTTTTGAACTTATTCATGGAGATTGTTCTGCAAAGACATTTGCCACACACCTTTCTGCACATATATGCATGCACTTAAGCACACACACACACACACACACCAAGGTCCTGTGCTGCTCTGTACCCCTATAGCCATCTCTGAGCCTTTACCGTAGCGTTTATCTCTGCAAAGCACCTGCTGAAGAGCATCAGGTAGTTGGTTAACCAAACCCTCACTTCGCTGGCCACTCTGTTTGGCCCAGGTGTGCCCATGTGTCCCAGTGCTACTGACCCCATAATTTGCTTACCTGTCATGCTCCTCCGTGAGCAAACAAATCATGGAAAATTCTAAGCCCCCCACTCACCGCGACACCCCACCCCAGGGGAAGCTGTCCCTCCTGCCACAAGAGCCTTCGCCGCCAGCTCAGCCACTTGACAAGCAAAATAAAACCCAGCGTTTGCAATAAAGCCTTGTTCTGGCCTCAGGCCAGCCCAGGCAAGCATCAAAGTGCCTTCGCCAGGGCTTTGCTGGCGCGTCATTACCGTAACCTCCAGGTAGGATCAGAGAGGGGGACTTCCATAATCACAGAGAGATTACATCCTGCATTTCGTGGGTTTCACCAGATCAAACACCAACGGCCAGTCCAGCCAACTTTCAGTTTCTGCAAGTTCAACGGCCTGCACCCGGCTGTAATTCCAATGACGTTTTCAAAGTCTCTCCATCTCTAGCCCTTTTGATTTTTTTTTTCCCCCTTAAAGAAAAAAATGATTCTTCAAAAGCTTCCAGCAAAGAAAACACTCCATTCACTCAAAGACACCCACATGGGAGGGATCCAGATGAATGGAAACTGGTTATCTAGGTACGAGCATCTGAAAAGAGAATCATCAACCGTCTCGTGCCCTGTCTTGTATAACCAGAGCTGGAGGAACGACAGAATCAGCCTGCGGTTTCCAAAATACTAAACTGAGGACAACCAAATCGATGCAAAGAAACTGCCCGTGGCCGGCCGTGATTCTCCACTGACGATTTTGTTACCATGTAAAATGCTTTTTTTTTAAAGGAAATAATTAAAATGGAGAGGTCCGTTTGACCGTGTTATATGTATACTCTCTATTTGGACCGAATTTGTCTTCTCTGGTTAAACTGCAGCCTGTCCCTCAAATCATATAAAACCCTGGACGATTTCAAGATAAAATAAAATGACATGTTCTGAAAGCAAATCCGACTTTAAGCAGATTTACAGGGAGCATTAAGTAGAATAACTGAAATTTGGTAAATGGGTCGCGTTACAAAAACGAGGAAGCGGGAGTAATGGCGTTGCTACCATCAACTGCACAAGCAGAGCTCTGTTCCTGCAAAAACACACACATCTGTGGGCACCGATTCCGTTCCCCTCCCAGCTCGTCCTTGGCAGCGGAGACCAGGAAACGTGCAGATGACTTCAGACGTCCAAGACAGCATGCCCGGGCCCGTCTCTGAGGTCTTAACTTTCCTAACAAACACTGTGTGGATTCTTCTCCACCCAGGAACGTCTCTCCAGCTGCCACAAGTACTTGTTTGGAAGAGAGTCAGGTGCTGGTTATGGGGTGAAGGGATGTGTCCAAATGGGCACAGGTAGGAATGACCATCCTCATGTCTCTCGCTTTCCTGGTACCTGGGGGACTGTGGTCTGTCGAGGCTGCGGATTCCCAAAGAACACACACACACACACACACACACGGTCATTCCTACTTGTTAACGGAAGTGGCTTTGCTCCTGGGCTTTGAAAAGTAACTTTAGTGCAAAGCTGGGTATGGAAAAATGGAACAGAAGTGACTTTGGGGTTTTTTTTTTTTTTTTTTTTGGTTTTGTCTGTTTTTGTAAAAAAGGAAACAGGTGTCCACCTCAAAGTCCCCCAAACAATGAGTCCAACCCACCATATATATATATATAAATCCAACCCTGTAGAACTTCGAGCCAAAATAAACCTCTCCTCTTTTTAAGTTCATTATCTCAGGTATTTTGTTACAGTAATGTATGTGTGTGTGTATGTCTATATTGAGACAATGTCTCTCTTTAGGAGCCAGCACTGTTTAGGAGACGTGTTGCATCTTGTTTTCCTTAACTGCTGTTGTTACTATTATGTTTTGATGGCAGGATGTTTTATGTGCCTAGCAGAAAATTTATAAATGAAAGTCACACAGTTACCAAAGCCTTGATTTTTGCAAGCTGTTTTAGCGACATCAGGATTCCACCTTGTCCACCTGGGGAAAGGGAATGTATAATTGCTGTTCTGACTCACAAATGATTGCACATCATTTTCTACATTGTTTTATCAGACTTTATCCAGGACTTTGGGATGGCTACTTCTGTATCGTCAGTGACGTGACTCACAGTGTGTTTCACAACTCTCTGAGCTGCACTATTATCAACAGTGGTCGTTTTTTTTCTCTGCAAAGTGCCCACATCAACGGGGGGCATTTATGTCAATCTCTCCCCTCCAAAGCAAAGGGTCGACAGAGGCCAAGCGTGTTTCCTCGATATAACCACAATAACAAAAGGGACCCAAAGTGAGGCTCCAAATATCCGCCGGCGACGTCTGTGAACTTTTGAATGTGACTCAGGTCACGCCACGTAGTGACCAGTCCTTGGAGGGCTGCTTGATTCATGGCCTTGTGAAACAGCGCAAATGCATCTGTCAACGACACACGTCACTGTCTCATAAGACACGGTTCTTTGCAAGGAAAGAGGTCCCTGTCGCACGCCACCCTGCCTCGTGAACTTCCCCATCCCCAAGTTCCTTGCAAAATCTCAGATCCACTCCAGAGCAAAAGAGGACTGGCCCAGGGTCAGCAGCGTCCAGAGTCTCTGCCGGCTGATGTTTCCTTCTCTAATTGACTAAGTCCTCTATTAGCCCTCTCCAAAGTGTTGGCCGTGCCAAAGGCAGAGGTCAGGCCCACCAGAGGAAAATGCTACGCAGGTGGCCTCTTGTCCTGGTGTGAGGAAAGAAGGTCACACATGCTGTGAGACAACATCGGGGACACTCAAGGGCAGGACCGAGAGAAGACACGGACCCGTCACCTCCTGGGAGTGAACGTGAAAAATGAGGATCTTTTAGAAACATGCTCCCTGGTGTCCAGGGAGAAGGACAGGGCCCGAGGCAGGACCTATGAGCTTTCAACCTCAAAGGAGCACGCCTCAGAGTGTCCAGAATCGTGCAGAATCATCCTGCATCTGAACGTGCCTATAATCCCAGTGGCTCTGGAGGCTGAGGCAGGAGGATCGCGAGCTCAAAGCCAGCCTCAGCCAAAGCAAGGCTCGAAGCAACTCAGTGCAACCCTGTCTCTAAATAAAAGGCAAAATAGGGCTGGGGACGGGGCTCAGGGTCGAATGCCCCCTGAGTTCGATCCGTGGTACTAAAACAAAACCCACATATTCCAAAGGCACTCTCAAGTCACCCTATTATTTTTCAAAACAGGTGCTTGACAGCTGTAGGTCTTGACAGCTGCAATCTGTCCTGCGAAAGACGCTGTTCCCGCGGGGCCACATTACCGCCTGTTATCGGGCCTGCTGACCCGCAGAGGTTAAGGATCCATCTTAAGTTATCAAGCTAATTACTCACAAGAGCAGCCAGAAAGAATGGGTTTCTAGAGCCTGTGAACTGGAATCTACTGTGAATATGGTTATCATCCTTTATAAAAGTTCTTATTTATTTTAAGAGAGAGAGAGAGAGAGAATTTTTATTTTAGATTTTAGTTTTCAGCAGACACAACATCTTTGTTGGTATGTGGTGCTGAGGATCGAACCCGGGCCGCACGCATGCCAGGCGAGCGTGCTACCGCTGGAGCCGCATCCCCAGGCCCATAAAAGTTCTTATTGAAAATATATCTAACGCTCCGTAAGTGGAAAACTATTATTTCCACATGCATTCATTCAAAATACGAACATATTTTGAAATACGTTCCTAAATCTTAGATGCACCTGTTTTCATGGTTGAAAAAGGCCCACCACCTCAATATGCACAAAAAGTGTGAGGGGGACAACTGGGGGTTGAGTTGATTTTTTTGCAGAGGGAAAAGTCTAAGCAAGAGAAAGCATTGCAAGAAATAAACATTTTTCCCCCTTGCCCATGACTTGGCCCAGTGCTGGATTTTTTGTCACATTGTTTTCCTGCGATGCATGCTTTCTCGTTATTCTCATTTACGTGTTATTCACTGGGGACTGCAGACTAATGCATCATGCTAAATTGGAGCACCTCGCAGTCTGTAAACCACACACACCCCGGACTTCTGTGACAGTGTAACTCATTCATCACAATTCCGGGTTCCTTTGGTACAAACTTCAAAAAGATACCATGTTTTAATGAGGGATCACTGGAGAAAACATGATGAATTAAGTGTGTGCGAGCGGAAAAAAGAACAACAGCCCCCAAGAAAAAGCTTTGCAGTGCAGAAAATCTTCAGCAAAGCACCAGGCACAGCCCAGCTACTTGGAGTGATTGACAGTTGTGGGGATGTTTGTTGTAGAGTGGAAGCTGGGCCCATACGGTCGTGCGCTGCATGAAGACCTTTCATCCACCCACGAGGCACACTTGCGGTCGATTCTGGTTTCTGCGTTGACATGTCTACACTTGAGCACTATTTTAGAGTCTACTCCCTCCAGTCATTTGAAAAGAATTTGCCAGAAAGCAATGTGCTGTGTCATGCCGACAGCAGCCCCCCGTGGCTCTTATTCACCAGGTCACCCGACTGCACCAGGAAGCCACAGAGTGATTGACATGCGTCATTCACGCTTGCACAGGGACACTCGGTGGTGCTCACTCGATGCCAGGCGCGCTGCTCACGCACGGTCTGCGTTGCCCAGGTCGGAGACTGCACCTCACAGTGTGGGATGATCAGGGTGGAGAATCTGCAGAAATGGAACTCGACCTGTAACTTCCCAGAGGGGTTCAAAGCAGAAATCTTTTTTTTTTTTTTTAATTTTCCAAAAATTCAGAGTAACAAACAGAGTTTGTGAAGCTATTCTTGTTGGAAACAGGTTCGACAGACAACTCCAATCCACGTCTCCTGGGGCACATCGCGAGAGATTAAAATGCAGTTGGAGGTCTGTCCTCGTGTGTCGCTCCTAAATATTTGCTTTTCTATGGTGACGGTCCAGCGGTGGATATGTGCTGCCTAGATGTTTCTTTTTTTTTTTTTAATTTCTTTGCAGCTGCGAGGATGTTAGCTCATAACATTGGATATAAAAGTTTGGAAACAACAACAGCAAAAAAATGTTCTCTATGTTGTTCCGATTCTGCTCCGGTGCTGGGGGCGGCGGGAGGGGAGGGGGTGCATCTTCCCAGATGTGGGTCATGTCCGGAGAGAAGAGCAAATGTTTGGTGATGGTGCTTTCAGCCAAACATAAAATAAAGTTAAGAAAGCGGCCAGTTTATGCCAGTTTGTAACTTTGCCTTTATTTAGAGCATGCATACAGCAGGCTGTCGGCGGAGAACCGGTGAC